GTAAGGAACCCAGTGTCATAGAAATGTTATGTGGTAAAGATAGAAAATAGGTTATTTACTAAATCCATGCATAGCCCTTGCTCTTTGAGCATCTTATAGAGGAGGCATGCGTGTCAGAATCACAGGGACTAGGAACATAGGGGAAAGGCAGTCTTATAGCATGAAAATGAAATAAATATTCACCAAGAACTGAGTAGTCCTGCTGGAAACTGCTAAAATTGGGGATAGGTAAAGATTAGATAATGGTTGGACTTCCAAGTATCATAATATTTATATTTCTCCTACTTTTCTCTTCCCTATCGTTCAAAACCACTCATTTTCCTACCCCATTATGCTAATGTATTAAAAAAAGTCTTTCCAGTTTATTTCTAATTTTGTCATTAGTAACAGAAGAATCCCAAAGCCATTGAAATTTCACTTGTCATTCTGTTTTCATGCATTATTTGTTGAGAATTTGACCTGGTCCAACATTTTCTTAGTAGAATTTCTGTTGTGTTTAGTATCTGCATCATATGCCAAAGTGCATTTCTAGGGGGTGTAGCTCAGTGTTAGAGCATTTGACTGCAGAGTGGGTTTCTTGTTAGAGAATATCACTGCAATATACATGCTTTTGGATGGGAACTTGGAACTTGTTTAACTGTGGAAAGTTGGTGTTTTCTCTCGTTTAATGTTACTAAGCACTGTTTTGGTGTGTAATTGTATCTAGAAAGATTTCATCACCTTTGAATGCAATGTAGGACGCCTGTATTCTGTCCTGACAAAAAACAAGACCCTGGCTTTATCTGGCCTTGATAGGAGAGCCTGTAAATACACACCTCTGTAAGTAATTGGCCTTAGTTCGTGACTGTTATTAGCCTGGCATAACAAACATGCTCTTTCTGCTTAGTAAACTACATTGTATTTTCTTTAGGATACGATGTTTTGAAATTGAGTTTATAGTTCCTTTTCAGTTCCCACCACCCTTCACCCAGCCTTCAGAGGCTCAGATTGGGGTTAAGACACCTTTTGGTATTATTTTCATTATTGCTCTCCCCACCCCCACCTCACTCCTTTCCTGTTTCCCCTCCTCTTTTCCCCTCACGGCACTGTTCTGCAGAGCCTGCAATGATTGATATGATGGCAGTGCTGTCATTCTTTTTAACCAAAAAAAAAGTCATTTTTGTTCTAGTTATTTTAATAGAGTCCCATTAAAGATGTATTGCTGACTGAAATATCGGCATGAAGGGCTCTCACTGAGCTGAGCCCAGGAATTAAGAAGTCAGGAAATCGGCTGCTGCATTGCAAGAGAGCCTTGTGTGACACCGAATCTCCTGATTGGGGAGATCATTACTGCTATTATGACTCGACTTGCGTAGGAATTTTAAATTCCATCTGAATGTCAGTAATAACCCTCTTAGCAAATTATCCTGAATAAAATCACGAAGGCATTTTATATAATAGGTGTTGAATTACTGGATAGATTTGCTAATTAAATACTCTTTGTTCTGCTGCAGTTGACATTACAGGGTAAGATCTTGAACAATTATTCTCAACAGCTGTACTTTGTTAAGGGAAAAATTAACCACAAAGTTTATTTTTTTACACTTGAAGTTGGCAGATTTTTGAAATGTGCTTGAAAAAATTCCATCATCCAATTGGTAATGAGTAGATAAATATGCAGGTGTTGCTGTGAAATCAGATAACTGCAGACTGCCTTATTAATGAATTTAGCAAGGCTTTATAGCCCTGTTTTCTAGCTGTTGGCACTTATAAAATGATTTTCTGTCAGAATGGGTAGCTTTAATATTAGACATGTCACTTTGAAGTGAAGTTATGAACGGTCGTCTTGTAATCACTATACCTTGTGTCCAGTAGACCTTTCTGGATACCTGTGGCTTTTTAAAAGAATGCATTTCCTTAATGGGGAAAATATCTGTAATGTATAAGTTTTTTAATGTTGGTTTCCAGAACATTCATGGGCTTTTAAATGAGGAAGTGTGAAGCATACTGGGAAAAAAAAAAAGAAACCTAAGGACCAGTTTCTGTCAAGCTCTTGACTAGTTATTACTTTGGGCAAAATCCCAGAATTTGAGTTTCTTCATCTGTAAAATGGGATTTATAATACTGTCTTCCCCTTAGGGTATTCATTCAGCATTCCACAAATAGTCATTAATAGCTACCATGTTCCAGACCCTCTGGTAGATTCTAGGAATTTAGTAGTCCACTGGGCATCCAACAGCTGAGCCCTCCCCAGTGAGCATTTTCAATTGAGGGCATCTTTGGGATGATCCTGATGACGAACTTGGGTGGAAAGCATTGGATTGACTGGGGTACCTACCATCTACCACTGTTCTGTTAAAAAGAATGAAGAGGCAGGGGTCAGCTTGGTTGTGGGATGTCTGGTATAGAATGGAGTGAAGAGTTAACAAGCTGTGAAGAGGACCTTGGGCCTAAGACACAGAACATTGTCACCAGTTGCTGTTGAGATCCACTGGAAAGATGGTGATTAAAATTATCCTCAGATATGGGTACATCCTCTGTGGAGAACTATTTAGCTCTCGTTACCGAAAAATTTAGAAACATCACATTTGACCCAATAAGTCCTCTTGTAGGAGTTTATCTTGTTACTGGCAGATTGGCTTGTTGAAGTGAGGTTATAAAGGTAAAATTAGAAACCCCTATGTGTTCATTAATGGAGCACTATTTGAAGAATTCATGATTGAGTTATTCAATGGAGTACTATGTAGTCATTAAAAACAACAGGGCAACTCTTTATGTATAGATATGCAATAATCTCTAAGGTAAAATACCAGGTGAAAAAAGCATTTGCAAGATAGTCTTTATAGTTTGCTTAATTTTCTACTGTTTCTGTGCGAAACAACCACCAAGCGATCCCTGCCACCAAGGAGAAAACTATTGTGGATTTGCAGATTGTGCATGGACATGGTTGTGAGTTGGTGGCTGTACAGAGTGGGGTAGGGGATAGATCTAGAGGTAAAAGTTCATTTTGGAGGTGCACTCAGGAATGACATGCTGGGCTTGGTTTACATGAAAGTAGAGTAGAAGAAATTGGTTACTGCAATATGCAAAAGGTTGATGGATTACTCCTGAGGAGTTTTACTTAGCATCTTTAACTTGTGGAGTTGTCCGTTATGACGAGGAACACTAAGCCTAGCAGGGTGTAAGGGGAGAGAGTGAAGAGAACTCGTGGTCAGTAGTTCCATCCTCATTATGATGAACTTGGCTTGGGTTGATCTCATTATCGGCCTTTCCCCTAAGGAATTGTCAGGTATTCTCCCACAGTGCATTTCCCTGGGATTTAAATATTTAAAAGGTGAAGTGGAGGAGAGTGAATGTTTTTGTTTATGTGTAAACTCAATTTTAGTGCCTGGTAGGAAAGTCATTAGGATTACTATGAGAACTATCAGTCACCTAGCAGTTTCTTGAGTGCCTGTTTCATGTGACACCTGGCTGGAGGCGCACACATGTGTTCTGACCTCTAGCAGCTGGTCGCCTAGTTGGGGGCGGGAGGAGTGAAGTCAGGGGTGAGGCAAACTGTGAACTGTACAGAATGTGATTGCCATGATGTTTAAGCCACTGGTCCATTAACTTTTCCCATTACGCAAGACTCATCTTGGGAGCTTCTTTAAGAAATTACTGGGGATGGGTATTTTTATTTTTTACATATCCCCAGGTGATTCCAGTGTACAACCAGCCACTGTTAAAACCACAGGCTTAGCCTAATCTACTCACCACCATTCAATCCCTACCCCCCCCCCAATCAGGGAAAGAGTTTCCTTCCCCAAGAACACAGAACAATGAATGCCTGAACTACACTGGGAGACAATAATAAAGGGAAGGGGCAGTGGAAGTGGAAAGTAGGGAGTTCATGTGGAAGAGATCTCAGGCCAGGGTTTATAGGGGACTAATATGAAGGACAAAGAAAGACAAAAATGATGCCAGGAGTTTTGAACTTAGCTGATAATGACGATTGGAGGTAGGAAAAAGAAATATAAATGAAGTAAATCTTCTGTGTGGCCGTTTGGAAAAATGACTTCTGGTTTAGATTGATGCTTTGGAAGGTGGGTGCTGGAGGAGAGGTAATAGAATGGAGGGATGAAGGGCCCATGCTCACTTGGTTTTATATCTTTGCTCTGTCACTTACTTGGACAAATTAATTGCTCCCCCCTTCTTTGCATCTAAGAAATGGGAATACAAATGAGAGTTCTCTTTGGGGGTTGTCGAAAACTGAGAAAATGCATGAGATAGTCTTAGCATAGTACCTGTGTGTGCTTCCACCCACACACACGCAGAATACTCATTATGTCATAGTAACTACTTGAGGTCTTCATTTGTTAAATGTGTGTTACTTTTGATCTGGTCCAAGATAATTTATATCCTTGTGTATCTATATCCACATTCTAACCTGCATGTCTCTTGTCTTAGGAATATATGGACCTGAGGAGAGACCTATCTATCCATATTACTGATGTATTTGTTTTCACTGAATGTTTACTGGGCCCCACCTTTGTACTGGGCACAGTGCTAGCTCCAGAGAATATAGTGGGCTCTTTCTATCTTCAGGGAATTTAGTCTAGAGAAGAAATTAAAATCTGGTGCATCTATATGTATGTTTTTCTTTTTACTTCTTAAGACCCTGAATACCATGAGTAAGAATTATCAGATTTGAAATGCTCAGTCAAGCTTCTTTTTTTAGCCAAGCAGTTCTATTTAAATATTAGTAATATGAATAGTTTATCTTTATTAAAGATAGATCATTACATAGATCTGTTTGCTATGCAGTGGATCTACTGGAATATCTCTGGCTAAGAATCAGCATAGAGGTAAACTTACTTTTAGGTTATATTGATACTGTTATTTTGAGAGTTGTAATTAGAAAACCATCAAAAACTTTAAAAATAGATGGAAATAAGATTGTTGGGCTGCCTATCTCCATGTGCTCACATTTATGTTTTTGTAATTATGTAAACATTAATCTCGACTTTTCTGGTTTCATTTAGATTTTGATGCACACTAAAGAGATGGTACAGAAGGTAATGCTGTGCATTTTCATCATATACTGACTCTTAAATATCATGCCTGGTGACATTTTGTATTCAAGGAGAATTGCAACCCAAACAGACTTGGAAATGGCTTCTTGGGATGCCTAGTTCACGGCTTTAATCCCTCCTAATGGATTATAGCTTTTTTCTTTTACTAACCCTGATATGATCTAGCCGCTGCTTGAAGCCTGTATGTGAGTGTTTCAAGCAAATTAGTAACAGTGCTAATTAGAGTTTACTTCCAGGCCTTTATACAGTATGTGCTCTAGTGTTGTTTGTTATGATTGATTCTTTTTGGCACTCTTCATAGCCTACTGAATACCATTTGAAGCTGTTAATAATTTAATATGGATTTCTGCCCCTGAGTTTAAAAAAGCCATGATGTTTCTGCTTCATAAATTGCTGTGACCACTAAGCTGTGGCACAGGGGGTAACAGACCTTTTCCAGTCTCTTATCCTTCTTTATATGATTCAGTTCCACCTTTTGTTTCAGTTGAAACTAGGAACTCCCCTCCCACTCCACTCTCTCTGTGTTAAGAAATTTAGGGGAGATTTTCTTAATGTGGTAATACCTGCCTTCCTAGTTTATTGGGGCTTAATCTTCAATTATACACTGTGGCGATATGGATAAGAATAAACTTTTGAAAAAATCAGTGGAAACTGTAATTTCTGTAGTATGGAAAAATCTTATGTTGAATTGTATAATGGTCGCTACTTTTATTAATTTTCATATTTTTTGCCTTTTCTTAGATGAATCTTGAAGTTATTTATGGAGATACAGATTCAATTATGATAAACACCAATAGCACCAATCTGGAAGAGGTATTTAAATTGGGGAACAAGGTGAGATAATTTGATGAAGTTATCTGTTTTATATACTTTGATATTCTGTTTTTAAAATGCAACTCAATAAATGCATTTATGTGTACATGTGTATGCTTCTGAAAATAATCAATTTAGTGCCTTCAATTCTTTGTTCTCTTTTTTTTTAATCTCCAGTTTGTTTTGAGGGCAAGAGTCAAAAGAAATTATGTTTTCCTTAAATGATAGATATGTTTTACCTTTGAAAATAGTCTAAATGTGGTAAGTTTAAGATGTGATCACACTATTAGTACTTATCACATTGTCATTCCTGAGGAGAAATATGTCTCCAGGACTACTCAGATGCATTTTATGCCCTCATAGTGATGGATAAATACCTACTCAGCTTCATGCCTATGTATACAAACATAAGTTTTACAGGAGTACTTAGAATATATTTGTAAAGGTAAGGGAACATTAAAAATAATCTTTTGTATCTCCCTAGTTGCAATTTATAATTTACAAGTATTTCTTGAGCACTTGCCATGCTGAAATAAGTCCCAGGAAATTAAAGCTAAGATGTCCTCTTACAGACTACCCACTTGTTACCTTTTTCCTCCGAATCATGTAAAATTTGAACTCTAGTCTTCACTTGAGCGCAAGCCTGGCATCTTGTACTCTTACTGGATCTTGAAAAGCCTTAGCCCTATCAATAAAGAGCAGATGACTATTGGTTTATTTATTCGGCATGTAGTTATGTGCTCTTCAGGATGCTCTGGGAGGTACAGGAAAATCAGTCATTATTTTAACGGCCAACGTTTTACTCACTCTGGCCACATACTTGTTGGACTATCTAATATCTAATTAGTAATTTGAAGGTTAGTACGTGTTCCGTTTTTAGGTGCAAAAAAGCCTATTTCATAAGTTTTCTGGGGCTGACCTTGCCAATTCTGTCCTCTGGTTGAATGGGGTGATATATTTAGTCATTTTTTTATGTTTCTCTCCCTGTGCTTTTTCAATGTTTTTGCAGTGTATCCAACATAATATTTTGTTCCATATAAGCAGATAAAATGCATTTGGTCTTGTGTGACTTTAAGTTCTGTTTGTTTAATTCTTGGGCATTTGTAACATGTTCCTCTTCTCCCTAGTAGAAGTTTTGGGAGCTGGAATTAACAATTGAAATTTTCACAGGTAAAAAGTGAAGTGAATAAGTTGTACAAACTGCTTGAAATAGACATCGATGGTATTTTCAAGTCTCTGCTACTGCTGAAGAAAAAGAAATATGCGGCCCTTGTTGTGGAGCCAACATCAGATGGGAATTACTCCACCAAACAGGAGCTGAAGGGATTAGATATAGTTAGAAGAGATTGGTGTGATCTTGCTAAAGACACTGGAAAGTAAGTTCAGCTTTCATTTTTGCTTTTGTTCTCTCTAGAAATTTTAAGCATTGATATTGTGGGGAACACCTGTGATTCTGCCCAAGCACACCCTCCTTTTTTGTCATTATTATTGTGTATTAATCCTACTCACTTGGCATGGAATTTTACTGATAGTTTACTAAAATTTAGAAAAAACCAGACTCGTTCAGTAAGAAATGCTTGTTGCAGAAATGTGTGAGGAGTGTTGACTTTTGGTGAGTGTAAGACTTCACATTTTAGATCCTTACAGAGTTAGTTTGTGTTTGTTTTGTTTTGCCTTAATATTCCTGTTAGAAAGTGGGGTGTGTTTTGTCCCTGAATCTTCCTAGAGCCTCTTTAATAATCTGAGGGTTAAGGTCTCTCTCTGTGCAGTGACTTCAGGTGTTCCGGGATTCAGAGAGGGCCACAAAGGAGACTTTGTCCCCTCCCCTATCATTTGTGTGGACAGATTCTTCCTAATCTCAGATTAAGAGCAAGTTCTCAAATCCCACATGTCCCTCAGAAATAGTAAGCAGTGTATCCGACTCCTCCCCCCAAGCTTTGTACCTGAGACTAAAGATTGTGATAAGACCTCGTTTTTCTTTTTTTAGAGTCACGTTAATTTCTACTATCTATTTAAAAGCAACAACTCTTTAAGTACTTAATGTACCATCTTTGAGACATTCCTGTTTTGTGAACCTGACCAATTCTGAATACAGATGAATTTTTTTTCTTCAAACAAAATTTTAAATTAACTTTAATATTGCTGAATATCAGCATTTTCCACTTGTTTTCAAGTCTCCTCTTGCTTTGAAGTTGGGAGATTGAGCAATTGTTGCTTCTGCAAAACTACTCTTGATTAGACAAAGTTGATCATCCGAGTATAGGTCACTGTTAGCCTTTTCTGAAATGTAGTTTGAAATGCTTCATTGCCCCCAAATGTACCCAAAGATGAAAGTATTTTGTATAGACTGTCGATTAGAGTGTTCTCTTCAGCTTTGTGTTTTCTAAGAAAAGATGCATCATAATAGAAGTAAATTTCTCTGAGTTAGAAATGTATTAGTAATTAAAGCTATACAAATGTTTTTGTCAGGGTTCTTTTTCTGACAAATTATAATGCAGCTGTCAAACCCTCGCTCTGCATTTTCTCAAAAATGGATAAAATATTGGCGTCCTTACTCCTTTTTCTTTTTTCTTTCTTTTTTTTTTTGGGTCTGGTAGAATAGCATGAAGTTTTTGAGAGAGAGCACAAGGTTGGAGAACATAGCAATACAATGAAACTGAAGAAAGAATTTTGAAATCTTTGCTTTTTAACATTTGCATAAAGAACTTTATATATAAATTATTTGTCAACTGTTCCTCTTTGGGTGGAAAGGATATCTTGATATCAGAGATAATATCTTCGTGCTTTATGAGGAAAGTGAAATATTTGTCTTCTAAAATTTTAACATGAGTAGACTATAATTGCTTGTGAATTTTGTAATCGCAAAGATATGTGATGGATTGCACACTTTCCTTTATCTGCATTTTGTATGGAGCATTAACTGCCACATGAATGTATGTTTAAGGGCAGACTTGGCATTCCAAGGTTGGTAAACCTTCGGTAGAGTAAATGTTAAAGACAAGTAGTAATGGCCTTTTGGACATTAACCCTCCCCGTTAGCTTTTAATACAGTTCTTGTCTGTCTGTGTGTTAATCTAATGGCATTTAGCTTCCCGTTCTTGCATTTATTACGATACTTAAAAAGAAAAAAAAAATCCAACCCTTGTCTTTTTTTGCAGCTTTGTCATTGGCCAGATTCTTTCTGATCAAAGCCGGGACACTATAGTGGAAAATATTCAGAAGAGGTTAATGGAAATTGGAGAAAGTGTGCTAAATGGCAGTGTCCCAGTGAGCCAGTTTGAAATTAACAAGGTAAATGTGGCATTTATTGCTGAGCCCAGCTGCTGCCATGTGTTTTTCTCCTCCTTCAGATAGTTGAAGAACCACCTCATACTTGCAATTGAAATGAATTCTAGCTGGTGATGAAAGCTGCTTAACAACTATCTCACAGATCCAGCACGAGCGTACTGCTCTTCCTCTTCCAGCCACCAGTCCTGCCTTGTCTGCTGCAGGGGCCTTCTCTCTCCGTTCTTGACTCTGATTCGGAGACCTGTTTCCAGGGGTTCTGCTTGATGTTTTGGGGACTAGAGAGTACTACCGTTTTGAATAGTCCTCCTAAGTTACAGTTGTTTAGAGGAGGGAGGGAGCAAGCAAAGGAAAGAGAAAGGGAGACAGACTTCACAGAAAGCAATCTTAGAAGCACTGTAAAAAGAAAGCTTTTTGGACAGTTATTTAGAAAATTAAGATGGTAGTAACACTTCTGTTCAAATTGCTTCAAAGTACTTATGCTTAAAAATATATATGTTATAACTTCATGAACAGACTTAATCATTGAAAATAGGCAATATTTTTTCTTACATAATTTGAAAAAATAAAATCTTGGTTTCCCAAGTGCTGTGTAATACAAAATGTTATGTTACAGATTTTTTCCATTTATAATGAGAACCCTTACACATTCAGAAGCTAATTTTGCAAATACCATTTTACAATAAATAGATTTCATTATCAGAGTTCATACAAAAAATCAGATGACATTAGATGGAAGTTTTAGAATGAAAACTCATTCATAATACCCCTGTGCTAAAGTAATTCTTGTCTTTTTTGCATATTTCCTGACTCTTGAAAACATTTTTACATTGTAGTAATTACAACATACATTATTATGAAACCTATTTTTATTTAATATAAACAGTTTTCCATGTTCCTGTAACACCATAAAATCATGTTTATTAGTATAATCTCATATTTCATTGATAAATCTTAATTTGAATTTTTTGTTAATTTAACTTCTGCTATTGTAAATAACTACTGAATATCTTTCCTCATTTATCTTTTTGCTTTTGGATTAATTTCTTGGTTTAGGTTTCTTGAGATGAAATACTGGAGTGAAAATATAGGAATATCTATATGATTCTTGCCAAATTGCTAGGTAAAAGGATACTAATTGATAGCAAAATATGTATCCCAATTTTACCATATATTTGCTTGTATTGGTGATTATATCATTAGTGATCTTTAAATTAAACATTACTACCATAGTGGATATGAAACGATGTTTTACCATTGGGTTTAATTTGCATTTCTTTGATTCCTAGAGAGAATGAATATTTTCTGTGCATATCCTTACAATTTGTATTTACTCTTAAGCAATTCATTTGTGTCCTACACCTTGCTGCAATGTATTTAAAGTCACAAAAGAAGATAATTATGTGTACATGAACAAGTACAAAATAATAGAAATAAGTATTCTAAGAAGATAACATGTACCTTAGCACTGTCTCTTTAAGTGAGCAGTGTACACCTTTTACTGTGGAATCATTTGTGCCCGTTAGAAGGTGATTTACTTTGAGATATCATTTTGTTTTCTTTCTCAAGAACTACGTGAATGAGAATTATGACTTCAGTTTCCCCTCTATCATATTTTTGATCCATTTTGCGATTGTATCCCTGACACTTGTCTACCTTAGAATTCTGGATATCACTCAGCTTCTGTAATTACCAACTTATAGAAACATTATTATTATTATTATTATTATTATTATTATTATCATCAGTAAGAATAATAGTTACATCTTCAGTATGATCGTGGATATGCATGCAGTTTTTTCTGTGACAGGACTGAAACTTTATATTTTTCATTTCAGTGGCAAATAATTTAGCTGGCAAATAATAGTTGTTCAATGAGCATTAAAAGGATTCATTTGCTTGTCTAATCATCCTTCATCAAACATAGAATACCTCTTATTTACAGAGTGCTAGAATTTGGGTTATAAAGTTGAATAAGTAAGGATGGTTCATATTTTTAAGATGCTTATGGTCTGTCAGATAGTGTTTGATGTTATTTTTTAAATGAGAATTTTTGCAATTTTAGTGGAAGTATAATAAATTCTGATGGATGTGAGGACTGCCTATATCATAATGATTCCTAGATTTGTTCACAGTAAGCTAGCTGTATGTCACATGTGACACATGTCCTGATTAACATTTGTCTGACTACTGTTCAGAACTTGCGACCAATTCAGTCTGTACATTCTACTGTTTTCTGAGGAGAGTGGAATGGAAGGGTCCATGCCACTGATCATGAATGGTCTTAAAGCAGGCTCTTCTACCTATCTACCAACCTATCTACCTATGTGTTTTTTGATGCTGGTGTAGGGCTTGATAATAGTAGTGTCACCCAGGGTGTAGGTTCTTTTATCTTTGTAGAGATTTTAGACTTTGTTGCCAGAAGGAACAGAAAGGTATTTGTGATTTTCTCGACTACCCCAGTCTTAGCTTAAATATATTTCATAAAGTAACACAAAATACTTTATAGGTGATTTTTACAGCCCTGGCTAACTTGAAGTTTAAGCCCCCAGCGAGCATTTGGAGAAAGAAAAAATCAAGTTTTCTATATGTAGTTTGTAAAATCCCCAAATAATGCCAGTCTAATAATTGGAAAGTATGTCAGATAAAATTCAGTTTCTTAACATTGCACTGAAGTGTAGTCAATTGAAGAAGAGAATTGTTTTCTTAAGTAAAGTTATATTGATTAAGATTTCTGGAAGGTATTACCCCTTCAAGTCAATCAAGATTTCTCATATGCATGTTTGAGGAGATTCAAATACTTGAAAAGTTTCCTAGGCTGTTTCCTACACTTAGTGTATGATTTAGAAAGTGTATATAGTGTAGGTAGTATAGCCTTGCTTGAGGACTGCTTTATTCTCTAGCAGTTCTCAAGTTTTGTGGTCATGGGATGCAGTCACATTCTTCAAATGAGGACTCCAAGAACTTTTGTTTATGTTGATGTTTACTGTGTTAGAATTTAAAACTGAGAAATTTCAAAAACATTTATTTTTAAATAGTAGTAAACCTATTATGTGGTTAGAAGAATAACATTTTGCAAGAAGAATAACTATTTAAAACAAAAAAAAATGGCCAAAGGAGTGATGTTTTACAATTTTCCAAATCCTTTAACTGTCTCGGTGGGAAACATTTAGTTTCTCATATGATAGGTGCTTTTCTTTGACATATAGGAAGAAAATCATTTCACAATATGTAGTTGGTGAAAAGAGAAGTGTTGCAGTAATTTTTTTCAGGTAGTTGTGTGTATTCTTCTTTGATCTTACACCAAAACTTTGTAACTGGTATTTTCTTAAAGATTGTGATGTGGAAACCATATCAATGAACTGTCGATATACTCTTTTTTTTTTTTTTTTTTTTTTTAAAGATTTATTTATTTATTTATACAAGCACTGGGTACAGTCAGAAGCGCGGGAGGGTGAGAGAATTCACCAGAGCCAGAACAGGGAGCAGAGCAGGCAGAAGGACCGAAGGACACTGCTGAGGGGAGCAGCGGGCGGCAGGAGAGGTCTGCGCGCCATGTGGGACCCTCCTCCGGTGGCCGGGGAGCAGCCGGGGATCGAACCAGCGCTGCAGAGGCTGCGGGCAGCTTCTCAACCCAGCGCTCAACCACTGCACCACCGGGGAGGCCCTGTCGATATACTCTTACATTAAAATCTGTTGGTGTATTGTACTTGGAGTGGATGTTTTATCCATGCATGCCATTATGCATGGGTAATTTGTTAATTATGAAGATCTTCCAAATATGCCTTTTATTATACATTATGAGAAATCACATTACAAAATTTCCATTTATATCATCAAGACAGTCTTGATGTGGTGGAAACAAGATTTCCATAATTGTGACTTTTGTTTAAAAACTTAAAACTTATCATAGACAAGATACACTGTCAGTTGTTTTCCTTGCGGTGGCAGGGTAACTTGGTTCTTTTCTGAGTGTTTGTCTGCCAGGTATCCAAGTTATAATAACCGTATTGGCCTGTCAATCTTTCAGGTAAAAATTAAGTTCTATGACAAAGGCAGCTGGTTTAGCTTGCAACTCAAACAATCACACAAGTCCTTTTCCTGGAGCAACCTTCATTCTTTAGCATTCAGTAGGCATGCTTTGGGCATACTTCCTGTTTTGTCACATAAAATAGTACCTTATGCTCCATTGTCTACAGCATAATAAATAATTTTTATTGCTTCACCAAGAACAATTTTAAGTGACACTGGCTTTTAAAAAGACTGTGAGTGTGTGGTAGTGAGGAGAGCAGTAACTAGCACAGGTTGACGCTGCTACACTGATTCATTCTTTTTTTTTTTTTTAAAGATTTATTGATGATTGATTGATTGATTGATTTATACATACATTCATACAAGCACTGGGAACAGTCAGAAGCGTGGGAGGGTGAGAGAATTCACCAGAGCCAGAGCAGGGAGCAGAGCAGGCAGAAGGACCGAAGTACACTGCTGAGGGGAGCAGCGGGCGGCAGGAGAGGTCTGCGCACCATGTGGGACCCTCCTCCGGTGGCCGGGGAGCAGCTGGGGATCAAACCGGCGCTGCAGAGGCTGCGGGCAGCTTCGCAACCCAGCGCTCAACCGCTGCGCCACTGGGGAGGCCCTACCCTGATTCATTCTTATAAGGCACCGGCGCGTTTCCCGACCACTGCCTCCACTTCACCAAGTGCAAACAGTATTCTTGGGGAAAGAGTTTTGATCTTGCAACCCCCTGATGGGATATGAGGAATCCCAAGGTGACTGTAGAGCACACTTTGAGAACAGTTGATGTAGTCACCAGCACCCTCTTCCCTGTCCTCCTCCTGTCTTTTGAAACCCAGTCCTTGCAGAGTTAGATAGTCCCTTCTTCCCTTTGTGTGTATTGAGTTCTATTCCATTAGACTGTCTTCTCACCTCTCACCTTTAACGTCTTTTTTCTCTACCCAGAACGTTCTGATCCTATCACCTTCCTTAAAATCTTTCCTTCATATGCCAGCTTAAGTTTTTTTTCCTGTCATGATTTCTGTCATTTCTCAGATGGAAGTGGTCTGGCTGCTGTAATTTTCTCCACAACACTTTGTTCATACCCACCAATGGCGCATGTTGCTTATCGAAGGTGTGTGTGTGTGTGTGTGCGTGCGTGTGTGTGTCGGGGTAAAGGGATGGGTGTTGTCTGCTAAAAGCAAATTACTTAGGGCCGGTGGCTAACTTTTGTTCATCCCACAGTACTTTACAGTGCTAGAACTTAGTGAATTATTACTGCAAAGTAAGGGAAATATTCTGCAAACTGTTGGTTACTACTCTATACCAAGTTCAGAGCTCTACAAATGCAGCTGTGAAGAGGCTGATGTATTCCTGTTCTCAGGGGGCTTACTTTCTGTTATAAACTCACTCATTTTGCCTTTGTCAACCTAAGTTGACAGTGTGAGTAAATACAGTGATTTCTGGTGCCTTTGGGATTGAGGTTGAGAAGCCTTTGAGAAACAGATCATTATGTCAGAGTGGCATTATCTATGAGTCCTAACCAGTAAATTCAGTGAGAGAATTGCAAACATTAGGAGACACTCTTACGCTGCCTAAGGGCTGATTTATAGTCTTAATTTTTCTATCCAAGTATTATGTGCCACGGCCTATAAACTTGTGTTTCTTTTTTGTCAGGGATGCATCTGGTTATATTAGCTACTAAATGAACGAGAGTAGAACCTTGAGGATAGATGTCTAAAGTTTCTGTTTTCTATGTACGGTTTCTGTCATTTTTATGTTCATATGGATGGTATGATTCTAACAAAGATGTGCATAGTGTATATATGTATGAGAAAGGTTTCAGTTTGAAGTTTGAGCTTTTGGTTCTCTCTTTCTCTTTTAGGCATTGACAAAGGACCCCCAGGATTACCCTGACAAAAAATGCCTTCCTCATGTACATGTTGCCCTCTGGATCAATTCTCAAGGTGGCCGAAAGGTGAAAGCTGGCGACACTGTGTCATATATCATCTGTCAGGTAAAACTGGTGATTCTCAAGACTCTTGTACCACCTAAGAACCAACAGTGAAATGCACGCATTTAGTAGTCTTTCGAATAATTGATGCTGTAAAGAGCTGGCTTATTTTTACAGTTTTTAAAAATATCAGTCAAGAATATGACATTTTATCATACTTTTCATGAAACACTTAAGACCAGTGTTTTGGTTTACTGAAATGATTTGAGTGAGAGAGGTTTCTGATAGTAGTTACTGTTTGAACCTTAAACTTCTATGAAACTGTATGTGAGTTTGGTCATATATTTGGTCTTATATCCAGCAGAAGTCTTTTCTTCCCTTTGCAACAGTTTCCATAATGAATGTTGGTAGAATAAGAGAGTAAGTGCATTTTCCCCTCATGTATGTTCAAATGATTACTTGAAAAAAAAAAATAAAAGGTTTTCCGGAGAAAAGTGAGAGTTCCTAAAAATACTTTATAATCAGTTTCTCCTCCCCCCACAATTTGTTTTGAGTGGAGGGGCCCCTAGAACTCATGTCCTTGCTACCTTTCTGTTCCATGAGGCAATCAATGGGACCTGTAGGCTTTCTGGAATGCAGTTTTAAACCACTAACCAGCTTTGGCAGTGGCTGCCTCTAACATTAGGTTAGGAGATAGGGTAGGACTGAAGAGCACCTTTGTTTACTTGAAAATGCTTAACTCCAATTTGGAACAAAGGAGAGGGCTCATCCTTCCCCATCTTAAAAGGTCAGTCATAGCCTTTATCCAAAATTTTACTGTGTTTTCTATTAAAGGTCATAGTTCATTTGAGTAAAACTTTTTAATTAATTAATGCATCGTGTAATTACAGTACAAAAATTTAGATAAGCTTTAAACTTCATGGCAGTATGATCTTTGTTGAATTACACTCAATGTGTTTTAAAGTCAGAGTCTTCTCGAAATCTGAAAGTGCTCTGCTAATATCTGCTCGGTACGTAGAGGATGTACATAACAAATGATTTAAGTACATGGACAGGAATCAGCACTTGACTCTGTCTCCCTCCTAGGGTTACTCTTGATTAAGAACTGTTACAGAAAGCCAATTCCTGCAGGAAAATATTTCCATAAATGTCTGACTCACTCAAGCCCTTAATGTGCTTTGCATATTGCCTCTGACAAGTCTCATCTCAAAAAAACAATTTTCATATTATGCAAATAAAGATTTTGGTAAATAGGCTAGGTTTTTTTTTTTCCCTCACTAATGTCTTCACATACATGGGAAAACTCTGAGATTATTAATGACAGGGGCAAATGGCAGCATACAACTTTGAAAAATTGTGTAGGTTCTGTAAAATAGCATCTAATAATAAAATCTTGCCACAATGATGTTTTGGCTAAATCTAGAATGGCGATGTGAGGTAGTGCGATTGATGTTTTTAAAAGTCAAATTTATATTCCTTGATTGTCTAATTATTAGGTCTTATTTCTTCTTCAGGTCTTATTGACATAGAAAAGCTCAAAATGCTGATATCAGCTAATGTAGCACAATAATTCGTTTAATGTATTTTTGACAGTTTTCCTATCCAGTGGTGCTTGGTTTTAACTTGCTTGTTAAATGTTTCTGTTTATTCATTTCTTCTTCTCACTGTATGCTAAGAAAAACTGGAGAACTTAAATTTACTTTTGTCCCTAAGCAGTGGGACATGCCCACTTTTCAGCATGTTTGCTAGCCAGAATTACCTGCTCCTTTTGCTTTTAAGCACTCAATTATTCTTTGTATTTCATAGCACAGCCATGTTTTTGAAAAAGTATATATTATACGTCTTTAAGAGGACTGTAAGCAAATGTGCCATCTAAGAATAGCCTATCTCCTAAATAGGTTCTGTTTTCTTTAAAATTAGCACTTAGAATATAGTGTTCTACTGAGGACTTATTCAGACTGTAAATGCAGATGACATCAGAGAGTGATGTTCCTGGTATATTATAGTTTGTGCTTTTGTTAAATCTTTGTGAATTATTTGCTCAGGGCTTAAAACAGCTTCCATATGTTGTTTTAATTTTAACTACTTAACTGTTACGAGATGTAATTTTCTAGGACATTCCACTCGTCACCCATTTAGAGTTTTTTCATTAGTTTCCTACCAAACATGACCATACAGTTTTTAATAAATCGACTATATCTTGTTGTCCCTGTGAAGTGTATTTTATAACGTTAACAAATTTTCACATGGGGGCCTCCCCGGTGGCGCAGCGGTTGAGCGCTGGGTTGCGAAGCTGCCCGCGGCCTCGGTGGCGCTGGTTCGATCCCCGGCTGCTCCCCGGCCACCAGAGGAGGGTCCCACGTGGCGCGCAGACCTCTCCTGCCGCCCGCTGCTCCCCTCAGCAGTGTACTTCGGTCCCTCTGCCTGCTCTGCTCCCCTCTCTGGCTCTGGTGAATTCTCTCACCCTCCCGTGCTTCTGACTGTACCCAGTGCATGTATAAACAAAACAAACAAACAAATAAATAAATAAAAACATGCCTCTATAAAAAATTAAAAAAAAAATTAAAAAAAAAAAAAACAAATTTTCACATGGGTACTTGATAGAAGACCAACACTGCTTTTAATCTGTTTGTAAAAGTGTCTGCATGCTATTAAATACACTGTGAAAATTAGGTCTTTGAGGGATGTATCTTATGTCATAGCCTAAACATTCATGCAACACAACACGGCAAAACCTGTCATCTTTTCAGTTCTCTTGAATTAAGTCTTGTTTCAGCTCAGATTTTTGAACTACAGTAACATGTTTGGGTTACTGTTGAAGTTAGTTTTTTATGTGGATATTTAACATAAAAACTTTTATACTGAGCTTATGCTTAGAAATTTTCAACTGCTTTTTAATAAACACACTGAGAAGGTAAAATGATATATTGGACGGTAACTGAGGCACCTTTTAAAAAAAAAGCATTTTCCTCTTTATTCACCATTAAAACTTATTAGACTCATCATCATTTAAAAATTCATAATTCTCATCATCATTTAAAAATTTATAATTCTCTAAGTTGACCAGAGTTCATGTGTCTGTGAACGGGCAGTTGAAAACAGTTGTGCTGTTAAAAGACACTGCCCATGGTGGTTTCCCACTGTTTTTGTCGTTGGCTATCACCTTATTCACATCTAATGATTCAAACGATTAAAAGGACAACAATTAAGGCTGGTTAATTCTGCCTAATTTCTTTCACGGTGTTGTAAACGGCTGAAAAATATTTATAAGCAAGACTTTTAACCTGAGGTTCGCTTCTTTTCTGCGTTTCATCGTATCTTAGAACAGGCAGAATCCGCCTGATAAACATCCCAGTTTGTTTCCATCCAGAGTCTAGCTACAGAAAGAGACTCCTGCCTCTGGTAAAGACAGCCATGTGGAAGGTTGTCTCTTCTTTGCGTTGGGCGCTGCACTGAGACTGATTGTAGCAGGAAGGAAAGAATAGAATTCACGTTATAATCAGTTTTGCAGAGCAGCTGAGCACTGTGAATAGTTATAATTGACTAGTCTGAATATTAAATTCTGTTGCTGCAGCAAGAGAAAGAGTGGAGGGAGTTGTTGGATGTTGGTCCAGTAGGGTGATGGCTTTTGCATTCACAGATGATGGTGACCTCACCTACAAGGCCGCACATGGGCCACTTACATCAAATTTTGCAATGTTTATTGTAATAAAGAGGTAACCCTTGAAAAAAGGCTCTCTGACCCATCTTCCTTTCCTTGAGGAAGGAAGAGCCAAGTAAACAGCACAAAGTGACACGTCCTTCATCCTAGTAGTCCGATATTATGCTGCTGGAACACAGCTGCTCCACCAGTGTGCATCACTGGTTTTTCTCCTATCTGTTAGATCTTCTACATTGGATATTACCTGGGAAGAGAGGTGGGGGTTCCTTACCCTGCCATTGCCTCTGGCTCATATGCTTCTCAATGATATATACAGCTCTCATGGAAAGTATTACCCCAAAGTATGTAAGATGATGCTAAGATAAGCATTCTTGCAGAAAGGGGTTGCATTAACATAATGAAAAGATGCATGTTTTTATTTTGGTCATCTGTCCAAAAAGAACTTTCTGATTAGATTGTTAGCAAGTCTTAATATGTTTCTGTGATATGGCAGGTGGAATTATTCAATCTTGCCATGCCATCTTGTTGGTTTCCTATTTCAACAAAAAATAGAACACAACACATGCTGGATTTACATTCTTGGATAGTGGGCAAGATGTTCTCCTTGATCTTCTACTCTTAGATGCATATGAAATGTCTGCCAGTAGGTCAAAAGGACTTTTGGTGCTTAGAATTAGACACGTAGAATTTCACTTGTCCCCTCTTTTATCAAGTGTGTGTGATTGAGTTTCTCACACCTTTACCTGTTTCATGTCTTCTTGTAGGATGGGTCAAATCTCAGTGCCAATCAGAGGGCCTATGCGCCTGAGCAGCTGCAGAAACAGGACAGTTTAATCATTGACATCCAGTACTACCTGGCCCAGCAGATTCACCCAGTTGTGGCTCGGATCTGTGAGCCAATAGATGGAATTGATGCAGCCCTCATTGCAACGTGGTTGGGTAAGTGTCCCGCGACGCCAGGGCCCCTCACCTGGCAACTGTGGCATGAGCAGTCCTCCTCCTCCTGTTGGGAATCCTTTTATGGCGTGGAGCTGTGTTAGGCATGACTGTTTATAGGTTAGGGATTTAGTTTTGCACTTGTTTGGTTAATGTCTATTTCCCTCATAGACTGTGACCCCAAATACTTGCTCCCTCTGTAACTACGTGCTTGCTCCCTAGTAGGCACTCAGGCAGTAAATGCTGAGGGAAGGTAAAAGAAAGGATGTAGAAGAGATTTTAGATGCTGTTATATGAGTTTACACTGTTGCAGCTTTCATTTGTGAATTTGCGGTAATGATATCTTGATTATTGATTCATCTTGTTCTGTCTCAAAAGTATTTTCATATAAAGTGAGAATACACAGCTCTCTAGCATTTAAAAGTTGAATTGTTACTACTTTTAGTTCTTGATTCCCTGCAAGTATTTTGCTTTCTTTTAAATTCTTCTAAAACCGGACTTGTCCCATGTTTCTTTGACTTTTTGTTATCACCACATTGTCCTGATTGCTGTGTCAACAGATTTTCATCTCTTGCTTAGAAATAACCCGTCCTGATTTCTAGACACCAACACATAAGTGTTACATTGCTTTAAAGTCTCTATGCTCTATCCCATAGTGCGCAAAGATGAGAATTTTTAGATTCTGCCTAATAAGACTTAGCAACTCCTCATTATCTGACAAGTAAAGTGCAGTTGCCTTTGACATCTTACTGCCCCTAACTTTGGCAGTTGCAACTCTTCATTTTTGAACTACAACCTATATTTCTTTCCTTATTTCTTATTTTTATGCTCAGCCTCCCCTTAATATGTCATTGCTCATTCTGTTCCTGCTTCATGGAAAAATTTTCTCCTGTTGTTGTTGAAAGGCCTGACTTAAGAACCTGGACTTGGGCATTTAAGGGTACTAGGATCAAATGGTGGTTCTGCTCTTCTCACGCTGCTGGCTTTGGCAAGCCTTTAAACCTTACACTTAGCCTTGGTTTCCCAGGTTGTTGTAACTAGACTTGCTCTGCGGGAGCAGTGAGATGATGCACTGGGACGTTGCGCCCAGGCCTGGAGCAGGAGTGTCTATGAGTGCTCTTAGTAGTCCTGCCCCACCCTCCACCAGGCTCCTGCATAAATGAGCCCACACTCCTCCCGGAATGATATGCACACAGTTCGCACTCAGTGTGCATTTGTGGACTGAGATTAGGCAGATGAATGATCAAGGCACAAGTTTTCCATCCTGTCTCTATTGAGTATGTTTCTGAGCTCCTCCCCATCAGCCCTGTCTCCACTATCCCGTCAGTGTCTGCTCTGGAAGTGGAAACTCATTTTTGACATTTGCCTAAGCAAAACATAATTAGGAGATAAAATTTTGCTACACAAATCATCAAATAATGTATTCTCAAAGTTGAGTTGTATTTGATGATGTTTATAAATCCTCAGCTGGGAGGAAGGGTGTGTAAATGCACAACAGTTTTTAACTTCCATCTTTTTCTCTCCTCTGTACCGAGTGCTCACTCAGTTGGGTGCTGTAATAAGTACTTTGCATATGTTTTCTCCTGTAATCTTTGCAATAACCTAAGAAGGGTATATTGTGCTCATTCCATTTTATGAGAAGGCAGCTGAGGCTTACAGAGGTAACTCATTTGATCTTGTCACCTAACTTGTAAGTGGCTCTCCTTGACTGGATAGGCAGCTAACTCTGGCTCCAAAGCTTGGATTGTTAATCACTGTGCTACACTGTCCTGCCGTTTCCTAGCTAAGAGGCGATCCCAGGTGGCATCAGCCAGGGGTGGGGCACTGTGGATGTGAAGGTACTGGAGCTTCATCTTCCTGCTCTCTCCTCTCTCTCAGAACAAAACTATATTTTTAAGAGTAGATCTCCCAGTTTCTTCATCTGTATCATCAAGAATCTTGTCTAAAGGCTAACCACTACCCTTTCCATCTTTCGTTTTGAATTTCTGGTGGTACCATGGAGGAGGGGTTGATGGAACAAGCCCTGCCTCATGAATGACATTGAACACGTAAGTAGGGAGTCTCTTAATTAGCAGAAGAGCTGTAGGGTACAGGGGGGCCTGCCTGAGTGCATAACCCGATGCCCTATCAGATGTCCCAAGACCAGTCATACCAAGAGAGGACCAGACTGGTTTTGTTAGTTTCAGAGGTTTTGTTAATTTCAGAGGTTATATTTAAGATCTTTTTTAGTATAAATTACGCAGGGTTGATTTGAATTTTGCTTAAAGACAAACTTTATTGCACTTGCAGCTGTCTTATCAATAAAAAGGTTACCTTATGAATCTAGTTTTCACGAATTATTTTCAAAGTCAGTAACCTGGTGGGTCCTCTCTTGGCACTGCTCTCAGTCTCTGGAGGAACCCCTGTGTGCTTGCCTCTCCCCGCCACCTCTCCACCCCATCGCCTGCAAGTTGTGGCACAGCCTGTGCAGACACAAGTCTAGGCAGCCCCTTTTTGGGGCCATGTGGCCAATTAGAACTTTGAGAAGGGCTTCCTCCATTTTATTTTTCCTGTCATTTTTGTATTTTGCCTCTTGCCAGCAGTTTTTGCACTGAGGTGGGTAAAGTGGTAGTCGGCTTCCTCCCCTGCTTGTCCTCTGCTGCCCCTGCCATTGCCAGGGGTACCAAGCCATCCCTCTGCATTACCCCTAGTCCTCGAGGAGTCCTGGAGCACTCCCTCTCTCCTCAGGAGCCTGCCCATTGCCGGAGCGCTGGAGAGCGGAGCCGGTCCCCATGCAGATCTACAGAAAACATTGAGGTGCACCAGGCAGATCTTGGCTGATGTTGGCCCCCTGCCCTGGTCGGGAGCTGCCTTTTAATATGAAGGCTTTATTGCTCCAGCCTGAGTGAAAAATGAGGGTAGCTATTCTTCTCCAGGGGATTTGACGTCCCTGCTATCAGTGCTCACTTAGCCCATGGATTTGGAGAGGAGGAGGGAGGGGATGCGGAAGTGGCAGGAAAGTAAGGGGAGTGTTGGGGGGTGCGTGGTTTCTAAGAGGTGCAAGCTGTAGGCATGAAATGACTGTAATTTGTTTTTAAAATTCTAAATCTGTTTTCTTTATATATAAAAAACTGCAGTTAGTGAACTGACACTGTTAAATAAGTTGAAGTGTACAAATGTATACATAAAATACAAGCCCTCCAACTGCCTAATCACAGATATAAAATAATTCTCCGGCTTTTAATGTAGTTTTTATCTTTGATTAATGAAATGTATTACAGTGTTGAAAGTTTAGTGAAGTTTGATACTTTGTCCTTTTAGTTAGTACAAAGAAATCAGGAATAATGGCATAATTTCATTTAGGAAAATTATTAAGTTCATGATTTTTTATTTTTAAGATTCTTTTGTGGAGAGCAACTATATTTTTCCACTACCTTTTCCTTTTTCTATTGCTTTTATAGTGCTTTCCTTGAAATGAAAGGCAAGTCTCAAGTGTTGGTTTTATCCTGTGGCTTCACTTTGGAAATTTCTCTATTTCTCCCCGTCAAGGTACCTTCTGAATTCTGTCTGGTGGCATGTTGCCTGGCCAGGTGTTCTGTATGGGAAGGCCGGTTTGGTGAAAAGGAGTGAGGATAGTCTATTAAGTGAGTGAATGAATACGTCTGTTGAGTTGAAAGAGAATAATTTGTTCTTTCTAATAACTAATGGTCCTCATTATCCCACAGTAAAATATGTATCATTTTTCTGAAACCCATACAAGATTATTGCTATTGGGCTTAAATAAAGCAAAATTTTACTCTTTTCCATCTTTGAATAGAAAAAAATATAGTATTACTCTTCTCATACAATAGCCCTATGGGAAACATGGCCACTAAAACTTGGAACTCTTAGCTTTTGTTCTGCAGACTATAGGTGTTTTTCTCTCTCTCTTGTTCTAATGTAAGTGCTCTATATTCTGTGGATGAAATATTCACAGTATGTTCCAACATCCAAGTAGTCTTCTGTACCTAGCAAAACAGACCAGGGATGAGAATAGTCTAAAGTTCATTCTTCAATTTTATCTTTTAATAAATATATACAACATGCATAATGGTACTTAGAATTATATAATATCTTTGCTCCAATGAGCAGTGATTTGTGCAATGGCTGTTAAAGTACACTTCTTCATGGTCATTGATAAAATTTCAGGCATTGTTTATCTGGGCTGTTTTCTTATTGGTCCTGCGAAGTTACTGATGTTTACATCCCTTTAAAAGGGATGTAAATGTTCCCTTTTTAAAGAATGGCCAGCACTACCGATGTTACAGAAGGTGGGCGTTTCTCACTAGATAGCCCAGTAACATTTCTACGAAGTGCAACAATAACCTACAAAATATGGGGCAGAGTGACAAAGTGCAGGTGGCTGGGAATAGAATGATGCCAGTGGCAGGTGTCGTTTGCTTTTTCTCACCATTAAGCTTGGAAGAATGTCCACAGGTGACCATCATTTCCGAACCTTAAATATTTTTTATAACACAATTAACAGTAAAATTTACAAAGTCACATCACAGCAAATGCAAAGTAGGATGTTAAGTCTTGTGAACTGATAATTGCCACTTCTTCCAAGATGGAGAACTATTCCAAGCGCATTATCAGATGCTCAAGCTCCCAGCCTACTTCTGCATTCACCGAACAGGTTCAGGTCGAAGACCTGCTGTGCTTGGCATCATAATGGGAACTGTAAGGGATGCAAAGTTGAATCGGCCATGCTCCTTCACTGGAATTATAGTCCAGTCCATTGAATTGATTTCACTGTTGTGGGAAATTCTGGTGGCCAACACAGTGTATGTCTTGAATGAAGTAAAATAAAGAATTTCTGCTCTTCAGGGAAAGCTGGGGACACCAGGGAAGAGTTTAGAAAATTGGCAGCATTTGAGACATTATGAAAGTGTGTTATGGGGAGGCCGACACTGAGTTGGGGATGTACCTGTCCCACTCACCACCCTTTCATCCAGCCGATGGATGAATGTCAGGGACCCTTACCA